CTTCAGCAACTTACTCGAATATAGCTTTACAGTACATATATATAGATTAAATTAAACAATTTTGGTTATGGTATTATCTTATAGATAGGTTATAAGGATTTGGCCAATTTTGATTTTGGTTGTTTTGGCCATTTGCTACACACACACACACACACACAAAAATTAGACTCTCTTACAAATATGTATATATGTGTGTATAACATCTATCATTTTTGCACAGTTCGTCATAGCAAAAAGTGCTTTTCATCAAGGGAAAAAAACCTAAAATGCAATGCTTTATTTAAGCATCTTCGTCATGATCAACGGTCAAAAGCTTTAAATTCGAAGGTGGAGGATAGCACTAACTTTTACTTATTTATTAGGGGTGAAGGTTTTTGCTCTACTAAGGTGTCCTCAGAGTAATCCTTTGAGAAGTTGGTAAACTCTGGAAGTAATAGTACGCGATCCCAACCCTTTCTCTATGATTCTTAACTCTTTCCTTCTTCACTCTCCTAACGTAGTTAGGGTTTTGTGAATCTCCTTGATAATCTTTTAATGATTCTCTAATTCTTTGATATAATTTGATATATAGTGGTGGTAGACGTTTGTAAAATGTTTAAAGGCTGTCTTGGGTAGTTTTCATAATTACTTGGGAATTTAGGTAACATGAGTCTTTACACATTTCTTTTGCTGCCTCCTCTAAGAAGACTTTTGATTAAATAGTGATCTTTAGGAGAAGTTTTAAATGATCTAAAATAGGAAAAATGAGTAGAAAATTGCCAGGAGTGTTGTTTGTGACTAGAGTTTAGATAGGTAAAAATTGTTGTTTTAAAAACATCAAATTTCTAAAACTCTCAAAGTGGATAAAAGTCTTAAAAATTGAATTCTGGAACACTCTTAGATTTCTTTCATGATCTATCATTTCTCCGCAGTGAAGCTTGTTGGATTGTCATTGCATCAAGGGATAGGGTTCTTTGCAATAAGGTGCCTTGTTCGTCACAACAAAGGGCCTAGAACACTGTATTGATAGATTTTTTTTCTTTCTATACTATGATTTGAAACTCTTGAACAAAGGAAATATAATGTAACAATATTGCACGATGGCATCTTTCTGTTATGATTGTGATATAAAGAAACTCTTGATTATTATTTATGCATTGAGATGACTGATACAAATTGAGAAATGTTAAGATTATGTAGTATGGTTTTGAAATGTATTAATGCGGAGAGGACATGATTGGGACTTTGTTATTAACCAAGTGGTTCACATCCGTAAAGCGTGCTATGATTGGTATTTTGGAGAAGGCTGCACAACCTCATTTGTGACATTTCAAAAGTACCTTAGGGTAGCACACCCGTTAGGATATTGGGTAATAAATTCATTAAGGCAACATGCCTTTTTTGTAAAGAAGCCCATGGCCCACATGTGCTCTGTTAACTTTAGCTTATCTGCATCACATGCGTCATGCGTGGGAAGCTTATTAGGGTCACCAGTCATATGGTAGGACTCAACCTATGGGTTCAAGTCAGTAGGCATAAAGAGGATATAAGGTAGGAATTAAACATTGATTAATTACCAATGATTAATGTTATAGCGTGCTACCTGTTGATCTTTTCTCTTGGTTTGTTTGGTATGTTATATATTACCTATTATGAAATATTAATATGTTAATTATTGCTTAAACTATTAGTCCCACCAAGTAGACGAAGTAGCTAGGAGTTTATGTTACTGGGACATCTTATCTCACTATGTTACTTTATACAAGTCTGGAGGTCATGTGATAAAGTGACCCTAACACAAAAATTCTTTAATTTATGTTTAGCTTTAATTATTCGCCACCCAGGAACCTGGCATTCATTCTTTCTTTCTGGACAATTGTTGACTTTGAGTTTATTAGACTGTTGTTTTGCTGTTACTCTGGATTTGAATTGATTTTGGATTGAGAATCCCGAGTTGGGTTTAGATCAGCATTGTGACTTGTAATACAAGTGTGAAGTAATAAGTGGATTCGTTTTTGATTATTTATTTTCTTGGGGTGGGAAGAGTTTTTGTTTTTTAAAAGATGAGTGTAACTACATAGTTATTTTTTTGGAGGGGGGAGGGGGGCTGTTATCTATATAAATGTTGTAAACGAATCTGCATTGTCTCAATGAAAGGGATTGATTTCCTTCAATTTAACTAATGCTCTAATATAATTATCAACTTTTTCGCACTTAGATACAAACATGCCAATAGATCGGCCTGGGGAAAATAAGGATAAATATGATAAATAGTATTACTTCAAGAAAACACACAAACACAGACACTTTTGTTTTTTTAATGTCGTTTAACTAACTTTACTTTTTTTTTTTTTTTACTTGTGATTAAAATTCGTATAATTATAAAATGTTATGGTCAGAGTAGGACCCATAAGCCACATATGTACAGTACCACAGTTCCATCCAACAACCTTTTCCTTTTAAAAAAAAACAAAAGAAATTATACACTGAAAGTTCTACCCAACAGCCTTGAAAACCAGAGTCTTGTATTCCAAAAAATTACTTTCATGGGAGTTATATAAAATATGATGTATGCACAAATCATACTTTTCGTAGCTCATGAGTAATATTTTTTTTTGGTAAATTTTATGCATAAGCAGCATCTTTGGGCAATATGTATTTTGTTTTTCTTTATTTGATGTGCTTTTAAATTTAAATTATACATAATGAAATACTCGCACTCTATATACTGATTTAGACATTTAGTTATATTTAAAGACAAATTATAGTGAAGTAGATTGGTATCTAAATGAAACAATATAATTCATGACATATTTTCACCAAAACCAGTATTATTTATTTACAAAGGTGTTGTGTGAATGGTCCTACTTGTTATAAATTTTATACTTACAAAAATAAGTGGTTTTATTGCGTTGAAAATTTATAAAATATGAAATTTTTTTGGCCATCAAATATGAATATTTTGCTCTAATATCCTTTTCCTAATTTCTTAAGATTAAATACTATTCAACACTCTGAAATGTTTTTATAGCAGGGCTTAATATAATAAACTGATCTTTTTCATCCAATATCTTAAAATATTTTTTCAATAGGGTGTTTGATGCTACTTAAAAAAATACTTTAAGAATTAAAAATTACTTTAGGATATTATATGGTAATAGAAAAATATTTTAGAATATTGAATGCACCAAAAATTAGTTTATGTCAGCGATTGTTACTAGAAAAATATAACTTAACCCCTTTTTTGTGTGATATAAACATTAAGAAGAAATTGATCACCATAAAAATACTCGAAAGAACAACCTGGACCAGCAGATCACCCGCTGATCTAAATAAATTAATACGTTAGCTTTAGCTCCTTCAATGATTAAAGGTCAATGGAGGAACCATGTTAGGGACAGTTTCGTCAATTCACCCACTGAAATGCAAAAGCACCTCCAAAAAGAAAAGTAAAGCTCATCTCCATCTCCATCCTTCCGAAAGTTAAAAAAGAAGAAACAAAATAAAAAAAATTAAAAATCTAATCTACAGAAAGAAAATTGGGAAAAAATAAATAAAAAGGAAAAAAGGGACAATCACAAAAAAAGACCCTAAAATTAAAAAACACAGGTAAAAACACGTGATAACTTCATCATGATTTTGACAACTTCATGATATATTATTATCGTCAAAAGTTATAGTGAAATTGTCACGAGTTATTATTTGTGTTTTTCAAATTCTATGGTCTTTAATTGCGATTTTCTCAAAAAAAAAAAGAAAGGATGACCTACTTGAGCCGGCCTTTAACTAAAAATAGCTGGACAGACAAAAACCAACTTATTATCTTCAGCGTCTCATTGTACAGCTGTTCAAAATTTTCTGCGAATTAATACATTTATTTTTTTTGGCAATTTAGTTTGTCTATATACTCTATATATATATGGATTATAATATTTTACGTATATTTTAAAAAGAAAAAATTTATTATGTGAGCGTATATTAAAAATGTCGGCTCATTAAATAGATTAATTGTCATCAAGTTGCAGTGGGTAAGGTCCAGTTAATATGTCGGTAATTTGCATACCGAATATCATTAATTTTTAATGATAAGTTTGTTAGTTTATTTTTCTAATTTTAAATATTTAATTTTTCCTTTTTTTTATTTAGATAGATAAAGCTAGCTAGTTATATCTTTTTCCATGTGTAAAGTTGGTAAATATGTTCAGGTTTGTATGTAAGAAAAAATGAAAATAATAAACAATATTACACGGAGTAACATTTTTATACAATAATTAATTATTTATATGTCACATACTCACATATTTTCTCGAAATTTAATATAAGTGGCCTACAACTTTTGGATATATAGCTTCTTATGTTTTATATATATTGATTGATATTGGTAATTTTAAATATAATAAATTTTGTCAAATTTACTTAGTCATTTAAAACATTTTGTTTTCACACAAATACTATATATTTCTATCACATATAAATTGTTTAATATAAAATAAATGAAAATATTAAATTCAAAAAACAGACATAGATATAAAATAAAATTTAAAGAAAGCCTGTAATACTAAATCTTGGGGGGGGGGGAGGGGAGGCTCTGCATAATTACCAACAATTTTAAATATAATAATATAAATGAATACATTAGCCTTAAAAAAATAATACATTAAATTCATCAACTCACAGTGTAATTAAAATAGGTTTTTTTTTAATGCAAGAAAACTAAAGATCAATATCAGTATCAGTCTTTCTGTGCCCCTTTCATTAATACACTGTGAGGACTCAGGCGTATGTCAGTATTCATTATTTAGTTTTAACGGAAATCTAATAATAAATAATATTTAAAAAAAAAAAAAAGGACTGAAGATTCCGCAGCTAAAAGTGAAGAAAAAGAAACACGTAACGAAAAATTATTGACTATAAAAATCAATGTTAAAGAAATTATCGAGATTAACAAGCAGATCCAACCCGGAAAATAAATTAATAAATCCTAACATAAAACCCAGCCTCATCATAAAATCCATCAAGAATTCACCATCTCTCTCTTTCTGTCTCTCTCTCTCTATCTCTTCGATGCGTGTTTTTATTTTTCTTCTTCTCTCTCCTCTCATCTCAGTGCTGTAAATTGCTGCTTCGTAATTTTAGCGAAGACAAAGAAACGCAGAGACAGACACAAAGATATAGATATACTTATAGATACATAGATACAGACAACATAGGTGGAGTCCTATGCTGGGGGACTCATCGTCGGCTGTATTGGGTGGCGGGGGAGGAGGAGGAGGCGGCGGTGGCGGTGGTAACTCTTCTGATGCAGTGGCGCCGACAGTTGTGGCTGCAGCAGCAGGAACGACGTCTTCCCATGACGGTGGCGAGTCGACAGCAGCGGCCGCGGCCGCAACAGCAGCTGGATCGAATTCCGGCGAGGAAGATGTGAGGGGAAGAGGAGAAGAAGGTGACCGGAGCTTCGGCGGCAACCGGTGGCCCCGGCAAGAGACTTTGGCGCTCTTAAAAATGCGTTCGGACATGGACGTGGCGTTTCGAGATGCTAGCGTTAAAGGTCCTCTCTGGGAAGAAGTTTCCAGGTAAATAATAATAATTATTATTATCGGATTAATAATCCTCGATGTGATTCACTTTTCTGGGATTGATTAATGAACAATAAGAGATCTGATTCAGCTGGATTTCTCAATTCCTCAAATCTTTTCTTATATCTGGAAATGTATTTCACTCCACTTTCTCTTTCTCTCTTCTCGTCTTCCTCCGGGCACTTAGAATTTGGATTTGCTTCGCTTTTTTTCCAGATTTTCCCAGTTCGCTTTCTTTCCTCTTTAGTTCTTGCCCTTTTCCTTTTCAGATTTCAGCAGAAACCGTCAGGAAAAAGAAAATTAAGAATTTGATGTGTGGGAATATTAATCAGAAGCATCTTCTTCGATTCGGGTGTGATTTAATTTTGCTTTCGCTGACATTCATTTTGATTCATGTTCTAATTTCCAAATAAGTTACCCACTTCAATTTCCTTCTCAAAAGTAAATATTTTCCTTCCCCACTTCTTATTATCGAAGTTCCCCACTGACTCAGAACTCTGATTATTAATAATATTTTATTATCAAAATTTCCAACTTTACACTCATGAGTTTTCCACGAGAAAACGATTTCTGTTCATCAATTCATTCATGTGGGTTTTATTCGCCATGTCCGATCTCCAGAATTTCCTCCTCTCTCTCTCCCCCCCCCCCCCCCCAAAGCTCCATCTTCAATTATTAGCCCCCTTCAGTTTCATAATTATTAATTCATTATTATTAATCTGGGTAATTTAACTGTTCAGTATTCTTAATTTCATGTTCCTCTAACGCTCCCAATGCTTTCTGTATTATTTTATCGCTAGCTGGTGACTTTGATGACAAGATTTGTGTATATAGAATCTGAATTTTTTTAATTATGTATCAGAAAAATGGCAGAGCTTGGGTATCACAGAAGCGCCAAGAAATGTAAAGAGAAATTTGAGAACTTGTATAAGTACCATAAGAGAACAAAAGACGGCCGAACTGGGAAATCTGAAGGCAAAACGTATCGTTTCTTTGAACAGTTAGAAGCTCTTGATCATCAAAACCATCCTCCTCCTCCTCCTCCCCCCTCACGGCGGCCACCGCAAGCTCCGCCGTCGCAGTTATTAGCAATACCTGCAACACCAGTTTCAGTGGTGGCGACGATGCCGTTACCGTCCACAAATGTTAATAATCCTCCTCCACCTCCTCATCATCATCTCTCTACTGTTCCATCAACGATCACACCTCAACCCTGTAATAATGTTCTCACTCCTCCACCTATCAACCTCACTTCTTCCACCATTAATAATCCTCCTCCCTACAATATTTTCCCCAGGCCGCCGCCGCCGCCGTCTACATCAACAGCAAACCCTATCCAATCTTCTTTCCCGACCGACTTGTTGTCCAATTCTCCGTCTTCGTCGACCTCCTCCGATGAGTCCATAGAGCGGCGGCAACGGCGGAAGCGGAAGTGGAAGGACTTCTTTGGAAGGCTGACGAAGAAGGTTATAGAGAAGCAAGAGGCAATGCAGAAGAGACTATTGGAAGCCATTGAGAAGCGAGAACATGAAAGGATGGTTCGTGAAGAAGCTTGGAGAATGCAGGAAATGGCGAGGATTAATCGAGAGCGTGAAATATTGGCACAGGAAAGATCTGTAGTGGCTTCCAAGGACGCTGCTGTTATGGCATTATTACAGAAGATCGCCGAACAGCAAAACCTCCGCCTCCCACTGAATAATATCAACATTTCACCTCCTCCCACGGCGCCGCCACTGACGGCTCAACCAACAGCACAACGAGCACCGGCTCCGGCTCCTCCGGCGGCTCAGCCACAGATGATGACCTCGGTGACAAACATGGAGATTGTGGCGACTGATAATAATAATAGCAACAATGGGGAGAATAATTTGATGGCACCAAGCTCGTCAAGGTGGCCGAAAGTGGAGGTTGAGGCATTGATAAAGCTAAGAACGAGCATGGACGAGAAGTACCAAGAGAATGGGCCAAAAGGGCCGCTGTGGGAGGACATCTCGGCGGCGATGAGGCTGCTTGGGTACAACAGAAACGCCAAGAGGTGCAAGGAGAAGTGGGAGAACATAAACAAGTACTTCAAGAAGGTGAAAGAAAGCAACAAGAAGAGGCCTGAAGATTCCAAGACCTGTCCGTATTTCCACCAGCTAGATGCTCTTTACAGGGTGAAGAACAAGCTTGAGATGATCAATACTCCTCCTCCGCCATCATCCGCAGCCGCCACCACCGTAAATCATAGCCTGAATCCGGCAGATAATGATAATATCACCACACCGTCATCGGCGCCCCCGCTGATGGTTCAGCCGGAGCAGCAATGGCCTCCCCAGCAAGACACATCAAGGGAAAACAACAACAACAACAATGCAGGGTTGGAAGAGGAGGAGGAAGAAGAAGAAGACGACATGGACGAAGAGAAGGATATTGAAGACGAAGATGATGAAGAAGAAGACGAGGAAGGAGGTGGCAGTTATGAGATAGTAGCAAGCAAGCCAGCTTCAGTGAATGCAGCTGAGTGAGTGAGATGAGGAAATGAGTGTGTAACAGGAAGAGAGAGAAAGTGAGAGAGATAGAGTGAGAGACAAAGCGCCAAAAGAAGGTATGGATCAATCAAAGCGTGTGGTCTGATCGTGGGTCAGAGAGAGTGCAGGAGTTGTCGGACGGAGAAGATTCGGTGGCAGAAGAACGGCGGAAGAAGGTGGTGGGTGGTAGCGGGAGGGAAATGAGGTGTGGGGTACATTTTAAGATGGGGATAGATCGATGGATGTTGTGGTGGTGGGTAGCAGTATAGTCAGTCACTGATCTAAGATCGATTCTATGTTTTTAATTTGCAAAATTTATTTATTTTTTTGATTAAATAATAATAAGTTGAGGGAGAGAAAAAAAATTTAAGAGGTTTTCAGGATATATATGACAAATAAAAGGAATAGGGATGAAGAGAGACTTTAATTTAATCTCAAATGCTGCATTATATTTTTTTCCTCTTTAATTTATTAGGATCCATTTAAATGTTGTGTAAATGGCAAAACTGGTCATAATTTGAGATTTGTAATCTTCAATTTCTCAATTTTGCTTTGCGCATGGTTTTTATTGCTTCTGCTTAATTAATTAATTTATTTAATTTCATGCATTTGATATTGATATTAACATAATAACAATTAATCTAAACCCCATCATTACTTATCATCTCAAATTAAAAATACCTGCTCTGCTAACAGGTTTTTTTTTTTAATATTCTAATAACGTATTTTCAAATTTTAATAAACTCTCAGCTTTTAAAGTTATTATTCTGAAAATATGGAGATCGATGATCCATCTGAATTCTTAAATGAGTTGTTCTGCGAGCTAGCAAAAATTGATTAAATTAATAAGGGTTGATCGTTTGTTCTACATGGACGCAAGTTAAAACCTTACATTTGACGTTAGAATTTTGTCAATAAGAAATTTATAATTTTTTTTTAGCTTGGTACAATTAATAATTGGAATCTAATTTATTTAAATTATTAAGAAGAAAAAATTATTTCTTGGTAGTTCTATGGATGTATATAAATTTATATATGAATATTGAGAAGTGAAATGATGAAAAGGCTAAGAATGTGGAGCTGTAAAAATTATAAGGGTTAAGGTGCATCCAGCAACGCAAAGTATTTTGTAGTGCATGGAGCACCTTGAAATATTTTTTAGGTACGTCTAGTACTTTGAATTTTTTTTTTTTTTGCCTTGGCGCTAGATGCATCAAAAAATATTTTTAGGTGCTAAAGGCATCTAAGAAAAATATTTCAAAGTGCTTGATGCATTAAAAAATACTTCATAGTACTGGACATACCTAAAAAAGTATTTTAAGATGTTGAATGTACCACAAAATATTTTAGGATGTTGGATGTATTTGAAAAAATATTTTAGCATAGTGAATGTATTTATATATATAGGAAGAAGGAAAACAGCTTTATGAAAAGGGAATAGAATACAATTGTGAGAAACAATAATAACAGTTAAAAAAAAAAGGGAAACAAAAAAAGTAAATGATGAGGGAGGAAGGAAGGAAGAGAAGGTTAAGGTGGGCAGAGAAGTAGGGACAGAGAGGGGGGAAGGCGAAGGAAGAAGGCTGACCTGAGGAGCAGGGAATCACAGAAGCACTGAAGCGGAGAAGAAAACGCCAACATCACGCATGTGCACTCATAAACACATGAAGCCCCGTGTGGGGCCCACCTCCCCGATTGGAAGGGAAAGGAGGGAGGAGCCTCGTGAGGGCGCCTTCACTGTAGCAGTAAGTGTGCCCTCAATTATAGTAAAACTCAACTCAAACAAGTAGTAAACTACTGCTACAGCATCATGCAGTTCTCTCTCTCCTCCCTCCACCCCTTCATGGAGTGTCTGTCAGGTCAGAGTAATGTCAGTACTATGAATTACCTCAGCCTCTCATCATCCTCATAATCTAATCTCTCTTACATATTTTTCAAGTACCAGAACTAGAAGATATAATAATTTGTTTTTAAAAAAAAAAAATTACACACTCGTGTGTGTGTGTGTTAACATTGGAAGCGTACATCGAAATGCACGGAGAAAATGCTAAAGGTATAAAAATAAAATTCACTATAGAACTCAATCAAATATGTGATAAAATTAAGTCCAAGTAAATAAAAGAATATTGTAGACAGAGCACAAAATGAATCATATTCTATGATTTTCTTAAATAATGTGGGTTTTCATAATTTTTTTGTTTGTTGTATGAAAAATACTATGGATTAGAATGGGTTTATGCAGTATATTTGCACTAATGTTCGTCTAGTTTATGGATTAAGCAGCTCACTATAGTTTTTTGAATTGTATATTGATCGTGATGTTAATATTGACATTGATATTAAGAAAATAAGATCAAAGAGATCATAAACTGCAAACAAAGAGGAAATTTTTAATAGGAAAATAAGAGATATAATAAATGTTATGATTTCTATTTTTGTGTGATTTCTATTTTTTTGTAAGAATAAGGACGTCCTTCATAAAAAATTGAGAAGAGAAGTATAGTCTATACTCCATTATTTAGGAAAAAGTGATTTACAAAAATAGATTTTGTCTTCCTCTTTTTCTTTCTTTATTCTAATATTTCACATAAAATTATTTCGCAGGAATCATTTTGTATTTTAGAGACTTTAATCTCATCATCAACATACATTCAATGTTAATTATGTTAATTTATTCATAGTCAATTAATTTTAGTTTCATACTCTGAGTTTGGAGAAAAAGAGGAACATATTGATTGGTTTAAAACAATGGCATTATGGAACATCTGATCAGGCTGTCTATTCTGTTCTTTTGGTATATTACATGAATATATAAGAAATGCTATATAATAATGGAGGAATTTTCCTAAGGAACAATTATAACAACAATGATTGGTGGGTATCTAATTCTTCTCTTTATATTCTGTTGAATTATTTTCCTAAGGCTAATTCCCCTCCCCCTTTTAATTTTTTATGTTGTTATTATGTATCTGTTTAAATTTCTTACTTTTCCACTTTATGTTAAAATATCTATGATGAATTGATTTTGTTAGAAAGGAATCGCATAGGTCTTATTTCTTTCTTTTGGATTTATAAGCATGAAATATTGGGTATCCAATTCTCCTCTAGTTGTATAATTATTCTAAAATTTCAATTTTTTTGTTTTCCATTTTTCCTTGAATTATTTAGTTGAAGACTTTAGGTTAATATAAAATTAGTAGATTTGCTTATATATCTTTTGATCAACTTTAATTAGATGAACTAATTTCAGGGATAAATTTTAAAATTAAAAAATCACTAGTATGTGTAATTTAAAATAGGTTTTATCCCTACATGTATTATTTTCAAATTTAAGTTTTCATTAGCCAAGTGGTTTTAATGTTATTTTTCACATTCTATATATCCATGAATTAATATATAACATAACAGAATATTGACTTATTGAGCAGGATCCTCATATATAAAAATATCAGCAGCTATCAAAGGGAGGGGTACCCCACAGTCCCATATTCAATGGTCTCTCAGTCTCATACGCATTTATTTTTCTGTTCATATGATTAATTATTCCATGACGCACCCACAGTTTCTTCTGTTTCACATTTAACAAACGCTCTACTACTGATCCCCCGCCCCCAAAAAAAAAAAAAAAACGCACGCTCACACCGGTCCGTATCATAAGATACCCCCTTCATGTCCTTCTTATAAAATATTTTTAATTTAATTAAATTACACGTTTTAAAAAATAATTAAAAATAATGAAAATTAATAAATATGTAAAAAATTAAATTTTTTTAGGCATGTTATTATTTAATAAAGGAGTAAATAAGAGAAAGAAGTATATTAAGAATGAGATAAAGAATGGAAAAAATCAGAATATAGTATCAAAAAAAAGGAGAAATAATAGAAAATTAATTAGGGGTAAAATTGATGGAAGAACACATTTAATATTTAGACACCCCCTCACCAAGATCTTATAAAAATAATCAAATCAATTCATATTTGGCGTCTTATAAAAAGGACCGCAGGGAGTATCTCACTATATTCAGCCAGCCACTTTATAAAAATCAATAATAAATGATTAAATCATTAAATTTGTTTGAGAATGATTTTTTTTCCAAATTTATCCATGAGGATCTTAAGAAAAAAATGAAGAAAAATTTCATCAACTTTTAAGTAGGGATAATTTTCAAAAAATACAATTAATATCCTATGTGTAAAGACTATTCATTTTTTCCCCAAGAAGTAGTGTCTTATGATAAAGATCAAAGTGTCAAATAAATAATTCTCTGCTTACACATCGATCCAAACAGAGTAGAAAACGGGAGGTAATTAAGAAGAAGAAGAAGAAGAAAGAACTCTATACGCTAAATTTTTTTATTGTCAATTTTTAAAGTTAAATCTAAGTCAAAAGTTACTTAATTTTTCTCGTACAATCGCATATATAAAAGTCTACATTCTATCTTCATATTCTTTTTTTACTACCAAGGACAAGTAGAAATTTTGTTATCCAATATCAAATACTACTGAATAATTCATATTAAAATCAGATCAGATACCTTAATTCAAGGGAGTCGATCATATTATTTTTACTCTTCAAAAAGTTAAAATCTGAGATATTATTTAAAAGATGCTGAATGAATTTGAATCTCTTATTTTGCCTATACATGTCCCTCAAATTTTCGAGTTAGCATAAAAATTAGAGTGAATATAATTTTTGGTTCCTTAAATTTGCACAAATTTTTTGTTTTAGTTTCTCAAGATTCAAATTACAAATTTTGGCATTTCAAGGGTAAAATGATCCAAATTTTTATTGTTTAAAATGAAAAGAAACTTAAAGGACTTGAAAGATCAAAAATTATATTAACCATAAAAATTACTACCTCTGGTCCTTAATATAAGAATTACGTAACTATTTGTGGATATTAAAAAATTTGTGAAGTTACTTACTTGTAATAAATAGATGTCGTCTTTTCTAAAATACAATTGTTAATCATGTATATTAGAACTTCTTCTTAATAGAGACTTCTTAATATATGTAATTATCACAAGGATTACTTGGGACAAAATAGATAAATATTAGAGATCAAGTATATTAGAGTCTTATATTTAGGATTAAATTGAATTTCCAACTAACTATTATATTTAGGATCAAATTAAATCTCCAACCAGCGAAAGTGGTATATTATAAGTATTATGCTATTTCATTTTTGTTTTTGTTTATAACAAGTATTTTATCCGCCCCCTTCAAAAGTATGGTATTCATAAATAGAAATTTTAAATATCTAAATACTTAAAAGCATGGTATAATCACCGTGAAGATATATCCCGTAACAGTTCTGACTTCTGAATCCTGACCACGAAATTAAATGGCTATATTCATAAAAAGAAATTTTAAATGTTCAACCTATTTTCTGTTTTCTTTGGCATTAATTGAATATTACTGTCAGTCATGGCCAATTAATGTAGAGTAGTACAGCATTCATTTCATTTTTCAGTTGCGTGGAAAATGTAGTACTGTTCTAGTTTATTTGGTAAATATTTTATAATAATATTAGAAAATGGTTTTTTGACCAGAAAT